TTCCGGCCGCGTTTTAAGAGCGGCTATTTCAGGGAAACGATTCGACTCGTAAAAGTAAGGACGGCGTTGCCATTCGAGAGCGGGGCGGCCGTGCCGCAGCGAGGGGACGCAACGCTCTCGGGCGGCAAGGCACCCAGCGGGTTAAAGCCGGTAAAAAAAAAAGGTTAAAAAAAACCCCAACCTAAAAGGGGTTAAATGGTTAAAAAGGTTGCGGAGGAGGTGACAAAGCCGAGCGACAAGATTTGGGCATTCGATCTCACGCAAAACCGCTTCTCGTCCTTCCAGCCAAAGGCGACGAGGAAGCGGCCACCAGCGGAGCCGGGATGTGCCGTCACGAGGATGTATCGGGGAGGGAAAATAAAATAATAAAATAAAATAAAATAAAAGCCACCGGAATGAAGAATTGGGAGGCTGAATTTTTCGGGAAAGGTTTTTAGGTGGGGCAGCAGAAGTCGGGAGGTTTAATTAGAGGTCAGCTTCCCCGTTGAATTGCGTTAAGGGCAAGGTCAACATCGTCCCCGCTTGGAGCCCGGCACCGTCGGGGGGACACTCCGGCAGCTCCAAAACCTCCGCGTTCAGCGGCTCAGCGCCAAAACCAGAGGCCGGCAGGCCGGTTTCCCAGGGCAGAAGACACCAAACCCGTTATAATAAATAAAAAAAAAATATATTAAAAAAAAAAAAGCGGTTTTGGAGGGGTGAGGGGTGGCAGGGGCGCCAGATGTTTCGTGACGGCCGGCAGCCGGAGCCGACAAGCCGCTCGGCTTTTCCCATTCCCCCCTCCCAGGGAAGGGAGGGAATCCTGTCTGCTCAGCGCTATCGGCAGGAAAAACCGGCGGAACGTTGCCCAAATTCAGCAGCCTTGAAAGAAAAACAAGGTGGTGGTGGGGACGGGACGGGACGTCGATTCCGAAATCCCGGTCGCCCCACGGAACGGGGCGGTGAGAAGAAGCGATGGGAAAGAGAGCCGGGAAACACGGAGGCAGAGCTCTCGCCCTGAAAAGCGGCTCCTTCCAAGAGCCGTTAAAAATAAAAATAAATCAATAAAAGTAATCATCATTTACATAATCGGGCATTCGTAACAAGTTTATCAAAGCAATTCAGGCTGGGGAAAGGGTGATGAATTTGCCTCTTGATTAGAAAAAGAAAAAAAAAAAAAAAAAAAGCTGGTTTATGTCAAGGGCGGTTGGAAACGGCCTCGTTAAAACATCCGAGTGGAAACTCTGACCCCAGCCCCGCTTCCACTGCCAGCTTTTTCCAGTAGATAACTCAGCAGAACAATGAAATTAAAGAGCAGAGCCATGACAAAACCCTACGGGGTCAGGAAAACAGCCCAGGGAGGAGAATCGCCGGAGTAATTTCTGTTCTCCGCGGCCGGAGCCGCACGTTCCCCTTCGCAATCGCTCCTGCTTTAGGGGGAAAATGAAGTGATTCTCTCCCAATTGTTTCCCCCCTCCCTCCATGCTTTAAAAAAATAAAAAAAGCCACCCGGCTCGTCTTATTTGGCAGCTTGCAGACCGACGAGGGCCTCGCTGCACTGGATCCAGTGCTTCGAACAGGGTTTTTTTCCAGTTTAAAGAGCCTTAGAAAAAGAAAAAGGAAAAAAAAAACCAAAATAAACCCCAACTCAAAGGCCACCCTCCAGCAAAGACTCCTTTAGGGCAGACGTGGCGTTGATTTTATTGAGAGTAAAATGTCGGTGGAGAGACCTGGATGGTCCGTACGGGCGCTACGGCACGTGGGGAAGCCTGGAATCACCCTGTCCTGCAAATTTGGCTGCATCCATCCGGTTTAACCTCGTTCCGGTGGCGTCTCCCTGAGCTGGTTAAGCTTTCCTTTCTCATTAGGGAGCCTCATTCCACCCAAAAAAAAAAAAAAAAAAACCTCCCCAAATTTCACCGGGGCCGTAGGCGG